CAGAGAAACCCTGTCTCAAAAAATAAAAAAAGTTAAATATTATTTATTTTGGTAGAAATGCAGGTCTGTTAATGTAATCAAACTGCTTGTCTTAGGTAGATCTCTGTAAGTTCCAAGCCAGCCTAGCCTACAGAGCAAGTTCCATGACAGGCTCAAAACTACAGAGAAACCCTGTCAGGGACACACACACAGACACACACACAACCTTCCCTTGTCTTGGCCCCAGAGAGATGGATCAGCAGGTAAAGATAGCCACCAACAGACATGAATTGGATCCCTGGAACCTACATGGTAGGAGAGAATGGACTCCTACAAATTGCTCTCTGACTTCCACATGTAGAAACTCACACATATACTAATTTCTTTTTTAAAATAGATGTATTTATTATGTATGCAGTGTCCTACCTGAGTGCAAGAAGAAGGCACCAGATCTCATTACAGATGGTTGTAAGTCATCATATGGTTGCTGGGAATTGAACTTGGGACCTTGAAAGAATAGCCAGTACTCCTTAACCTCTGAGCCATCTCTCCCGCCCCGCAAACCAATTTCTTAAAATGAGTAGTGATTTCTGATAAAATAATGCTACATCACAATTTATGCATAATCCCTCCATGGTATCTCTGTCAAGGATGTCTACAATTCTTTAAAGAAAAATAAGAACCCCACATAAGATCTGCTAGTCTAGTCTATCTTTGACTTTTTGACCTGCCATCAAAAATACTAGTAACGGCCTTTCCCCGGCAAGCTAAGGGACGTAAAGTGTTATTCCTTCCAGGGCTGGAGAAATGGCTCAGCAGTATTCTTACACTGGTTGAAGTTTGAGGCCAGCCTGGTCCACAGAGCAAATTACAGGACACCCAGAGCTACACAGAGAAACTGTCTTGAAAACAAAGAACACTGACTGATCTTCTAGGTGGCTCACAACCATCTCTAATTCCAGGAGATCTAATACCTCTCTGTCATAGATGGTCACAAGACACAAAGTACACAGATATGCTTGCAAAACACCCATACACTAAAATAAAATAAAAATAAAATCTTTCAAAAAAAAAAAAAGTACAATAGAACTTATGTGCTCATGAGTTGATTCCAACCTAGTCACTGCAACTACATTATCGTAAAGTCTGACAACTGTGCTGAAATGCTGTTGTAATAACATGTCAATCTGCAATGAAAAATGTTCTTGAATATAGAATAGGAAATAAGTAAATTTACAAACACAACCTATATTAGCATATCACTTATTATGTTTTTAGAATATCTAAACAAAAAGTAATCTACCATGACAGTGTACCAAAAATGAAAATCTACACTTAACTATTTTTTATCCGCATCTCTTTCTAAAATCAATACTCAAGTTAAAAATAAAACTTTCATAAGAAAGACATTTACATTGTTAAAGTCTAATTAGTGATGTTAAGTCTTTTTTTCTTATTTAGCTTATGTTTGGATGGTGGAGATCAAACTCAGGGCTTAGCAAACATTAGGCAGTACATACTATATAATACTTAGCTTATAACACCAGTTTAAGTCTTTTTCTTTTCTAATCTTCAATGAGTAATTTTTCTTTCTAAAGAAATAAAGAAAATGACACCACTGAACTGGCTTCATGTCTATAATCCCAGCACTTTCCCAGACAGGGTTTCTCTGTGTAGCTTTGGAGCCTGCCCTGGAACTTTCTTTGTAGACTAGGCTGGAGTTGAACTCTCACAGCAATCTGCCTGCCTCTGCCTCTGCCTCCTGAGCACTGGAATTAAAGGTTCATGCCACCACTGTCCAGCTAAAATACAACACAAAATTAAGTTTTAACACTAAATTCAAGTAATTTTTTTTTGTTTGGTTGGTTAACTGGTTTTCTTCTTTTGAGACAAGATCTTCACTACATGGTTCTAGCTAGGCTAGCACTCACTATGCAGCCATCTAGCACTCACTATGGCCTGGAAATCATGGCAATCTTTTTGCATCAGCCTCCAGAGTGCTGGATTACAAACAATGCCATGCCTAACTTTCAAGTATTCATTCATTTTTTTGAGATTTATTATTATACTTTTAATTATTTGTAGGTGTATGTCTGCATTCTGATATGTTCATGTGAGTGCAAGTGCCCTCAGATTCCAGAGATGTTAAATCCCCAGATCCCTGAGTTACAGACAGTTTGAACCACTTTACATGGGTTCTAGAAACAAAATTCAGGTCCTTTGGAAAAGCAGCAGATACTCTTAACCACTGAGCCATCTCTCAAGCTCTCAAGGATTCATTTTAAAATGCAATTTTCATTCAAGATTACAGATTAAAATTGTCAGTCCAGAAAAACAAACAAACAAAAAAAGTCATCTTTTGTTTTGTTTTGTTTTTTGAGACAGGGTTTCTCTGTATTGTTTTGGAACCTGTCCTGGAACTAGCAACTAGCTCTGTAGACCAGGCTGGCCTCGAACTCAGAGAGATCCGCCTGCCTCTGCCTCCCCAGTGCTGGGATTAAAGGTGTGTGCCACCACTGCCCGGCCCAAAAACATCATTATTAAGGAAGATGACACTCCCTGCACTAAATTTTACCTTAAGAAAAAAGACACTCCCTGCACTAAATTTTACCTTAAGAAAAAAGAAAAGAGCTGGGTGATGGTGACTCATGCCTTTAATGCCAGCACTCAGGAGACAGAAGCAGGCAGATCTCTGTAAACTGGAAACCACCCTGGTCTACAGAGTGAGTTCCTGGACAGCCAAGGCTAAACAGAGAAACCCTATCTTGAGAAACCAAAAATAAACAAATAAATAGACAAATGAATAAAAAAGAAAAGTACTATCTAGTACCTTTACCATCTAGTAAAAAAATTTAGGGTGCCTTCAGAAAAACTAAATAAAAGGAGTCATAATGCTAAAAGTTGTTACTATCTACTCAATACATAAAATATACATTTAATAATCTTTTAAAAATTAAAGATTAAAATTTAAAAGTTGGTAAAAGATCTCTAATAACCAACAGAATGAGAGCTTATCAGGAAAAATCAGGAGGAAAAAAAAAAAAGCTGAGGCTGTCACTCAGGAAAACACTGGTCTAGCCCTGGATTCAATGTTCTACAATGCAAGAAAAGACACTGGGGCAGCAGGTGTTCAAAACAGAGTCAAGTGTTGATAAGAAAACTATAACTAATTTTTAAAAACATGCAGACTTTCCCCTTTTTTTCAGTTCTTTCCACATATGGTAAATTTACCCAGTTCTGTCTTATTTCCAAATTGCACACCACAATTCATTTCCACTAAAACTTTCGATAGAAGAAGGACGCAAATATTTTCCTACCAAACTTTCAAGTGTGCCCAGAAGTCATTTTCATTCTAGATGGACTACCATTCATCTAGTCCTGAGAAGCCCTACTGCACACCTATTCACTCATTCATTCATTTATACCTATGCTCTACACATTCACTCTGAGAATGCAAATAACACTTCAGACATCCAAATACTCCACCCACCACTGCCTCCTTTACCATCCTGCCTCCACAAAGTAACACATTGAACTACAGATAGATGAGTCTCCTCCTGGGGTACCTTCCTATCCTCCATCCCCCCCTAAAACAAAGTAGCAAAACCAAAAGTTAACCAAGTTTCTTGGGGGGGGGGGGTGTTAAGGAAATAACAGATGAACAGGAAAGCAAGAAATGACAGTATCTCCCAACAGCCTCAACTTTATCATACCTCCACAATTCTGGGACTACTTCCCATTTCTAACCCCTGAAAAACATTTTTCTTTTTCGTTTTTTTTTTTTTAACTAGAGTAATCTGATTTCATGAATCAAAGCCCACCTTTCTCCTCCTTGAATTGTGTGTGTGGCAAATTAGAAGGAAAATAAACAGAAATGGGGGGGGTACAGCAGAGAAAGGGGAGGGAGAGAAAGAGCGAGCAGGAAATGCTTCTTTCCCTCCCATTCGGTTTCCCATGCTCTCTTCAAAGTCTCATCTCTCTTGCTTTCCATCCTTTTCTCCCCACGAGGCTGTGCCAGGGGCTAGCTACACCCGAGTATCTCCAAACACTCCACACAACCTTTACTGTCTTAAAAGTTAAAACAAGAAGTTGATGCCTCTACTGTCCCTGCTAAGCCTTTCAATGTTATTTCCACAACTGACACTACTCAAAATATCTTAAGAGGACAGGTCTCTCATTCACCTTACCCCTCAACAGGCCCCTACACCCCAATTACAGTTGCCCTGTCATCTTTCAACAATGTTAACAAGATCCTTATTTATTCGTGTGCCCCTTTTATTCTTCTAATACCTGTATCAAAAAAAAAAAAAAAAAAAAAAAAGATGCTGCAACTATGCCTGCCTCAACCTCATGATCCATACTATACACTATATAACCCTTTAACCCTCAATAAAACATAAAAATCCCGACTCTTCCCCCAATGTACTATGGTATCTAAAAATAATCAACTCTACCATGTATTCAAGAACACCTTAAAATCCCTTAGTATCTTTGCTCTCAGACTCATGAGCTCCCCAATAATTTATCTAAACCCTCCCATGTCCTCATATTCACTTCAGCACTCCCATCTTTCAAACCCTTTAATATTCTCGCCCCCTTGGAGCTCACCCCTAATTACACCCAAGCTTCAGGACCCCCGCTCTCCCCTCGCTGCCCCAGTGTTCCGAGAAGGCCGCCGACACCGGGCTCCCGGACACTGTTTGCAAAGTCCTCCAGCCCGCTCCGCCGTCCCATACCTCAGCTTTCACATTTAAAAATCCCTCGACAGCCGCGCCACTCGCCTCAGCTCGCACGCAGGTCGGCGTCCTTCAGTCTCCCGCCGGCCTGCAACCCGGGCCGGCTCCCACTGTACTCGGGAAGCCCCGCCGCCCGTGCCCGGCCCCTGCCCCCCCCACACATACACCTCACACCACCGTGGACGAGTACTCGGCGGGCGGCCCGGACTCCCGCCTCCCCTCCCCCACGCCCCCGCGGGTCCCCAACGCCCATGCCGCCGGCCCGGCGCGGCCCGGCGCACTCACATCGGCTCCAGTAACTTGGCCAGCCAGGACTTGAGGGCATCCACATCCTCTATGAGCATGGTGCAGCGAAGGCGGGCTCGGCCGCCGCTCCTCCTAAGGCCCGCCGCCGGTCTCCTCTCGCCGCCGCCTCACGTTCCCTCACAGCTCCGGGTGCCCTGACCCACCGGGCATCTTAGAGACTTCACCTACTCCCTGGGCCGGGGCCTAACAGGAACTAACCCAAGAGCCCCACTCAACCTAGCCCGGAGGCTCAAGTGGGCGGGAGATAATGTGGAGTGACGGGCGCACGCACCAATAGGTGAGAGAGGGCCGCGCGCAGTGTGCCAATCGTAAGGCTCTCCCGCCCCGCCCGCCGGTCGCATCCAGTGAGGGCGGAGGGACCTAGCAAGGTAGGTGGAGAGTTCAGTGAACTCCCGGTGCAAGATGGTATCTTGGAGAAGGTACTGCGCCTCTTAAAGGGTCCGCGGCGCCTCTTTTGACCACGCCGCCAACCCACGCCCGGAATACCGGTGTCGACTGCTAGGAGTGCCTGGGAGAACCCGGAGAGCCCCTCTTCCTGGTTCCTTCCGCTCGTTTTTTTCCTGGGAACTCACTCTGGTGTCCCGAAATGACTCAGCTGTAGTAAATCTGCAACACAACGTGCAATGCGTTCTCTTTGGACACATTGCTAAGAAGCAAGATCTTGCAATTTTTTTTTTCTTTCTTACACACTCATTTTGATGATCGGCGCTCATGCTTCTGTTTGTTGTTGTTGTTATCTTATTTTTGTTTTTTGTTTTTATTTTTGCTGCTTAGCTTCAATTATACATAATCTCTCGTTTATTTTTTGTTTGTTTTTTCGGGGAGAATTTAGATTAGCAAACATTAAAAAAAAAAAAAAAAAAAACAATGGGACTGGCTTATTCAGTAACAAATATGGAAAGCCTGTTACGTTCTTAGACTAAAGCATTAGAGTCCAGTGGAGGGGAAATCTCTCTTCTAGATAACTGACAGTTTGTAGAGTTGTACAGTATAATAACATTTTGGAAAATAACTAATGAGCACACATTTCACATAAAAGAGGTGGATCGACACAAAATAAGCAGTTGCACTAAATATATTGTACATAGGACAGGTACCAGCTAGCTTGCTTTCTCTCTCTAAAGGAGGCCAGATGATGGTTAACATTTCTGGTTATGTGAACTTGGAGGTCATTGTGGCAACTACTCAACATGAAATGACTTGGCAAGAACCTGGCCATAGATGATATGTAAACAAGAGATTGTGGCTATGTTCCTGTAGCATGAACATTTTATTAAATAAAAATGTCAATTCCGTGTAAATTTTTGCATCATAAAGTATTATTTTTTTCACCTGGCGTTGGTGGTGCACGCCTTTAATCCCAGCACTCGGGAGGCAGAGGCAGGAGGATCTCTGTGAGTTCCAGACCAGCCTGGTCTACAAGAGCTAGTTCCAGGACAGTCTCCAAAGCTACACAGAGAAACCCTGTCTTGAAAAACCAAAAAAAAAAAAAAAAAAAAAAAAAAGTATTATTTTTCTTGGCTTTTTTGAGATGGGGAGTTATGTAGTCCAACTGAGACTCACCTCTATTCTCTGCCTAAAAAAAAAAAAAAAAAGATTTGCACCCAAAGTTATTAGTTATCTTTGTATCACTTTTTTGTTGTTTATTTTATTTTATTTTATTTTATTTTATTGTTTTGTTTTGAGACAGGGTTTCTCTGTGGCTTTGGAAGCTGCCCTTCCTGGAATTTGGTCTTGTAGACCAGACTGGTCTTAAATTCACCGAGATCAGCCTGCCTCTGGCTCCCAAGTGCTGGGATTAAAGGCGTGCACCACCACCTCCTGGCTTCCACCTTCTTCCCTCATCTTCCCCACCCCCCCCCCAGCCTGTCCTTTTTACCCACCTACCCCTAATAAGTTTCATGTCACATGAGTTTCACAAGTGTTCTGTTACCCTCACCCTTTGCTCAATTTGTCTTTCCTCCATTTCATGACCCCCTTTCTGGTATCAGAACCTCACTCACACCCAGACAGACCCATGTATGTAAATATTAAAAGCTAGGATCTGAATATGAGAGAAAACATGTGATATTTGTCTTTCAGAACTTGGCTACCTCACTTAATATAATGATGCACAGACCCATCGATTTTCCTGCAAATTTCATAATTTTATTTGTCTTCATAGCTGAATAAAATCCCATTGTGAGTATGTCACACATTTTCATTATCCATTCGCCTGTTCATGGACATCTAAGCTGATTCAAATTCATAAAATATTATTCTTTTCACTTTTATCAATCACTTAAAAATGTAAGTGTCACTGTAATCTCACAGATTCAGAAGACAGGTGTCAGCAGAGTTTGGCTTGCTGGCCTGTTTGCTTATGCCATTATATTGGGAAACAAAATGGGAGGCTTATTGACAAATGAGAAGGCAACTGGGCAGTGGTGGCTTAATACCACTGCTTGGGGTGCAGAGGCAGGCAGATCTCTGTGAGTTCGAGGCCAGCCTGATCTTCCAGAATGAATTCTAGGACAGTCAGAGCTGCACAGGGAAATCCTGTTTTGAAAAAAACAACAACAAAATGTTTAATGTATTTTTGAACAAATTTACAACCTAATTTCTTTCTTCTTTTTTTTTTTTTTATTTGAAGCTATTTATTTATTTATTGAGACAGGGTCTCTGTGTAGCCTTGGCTGTCCTGGAACTCTTTCTGTAGACCAGGCTTGCCTGGAACTCACAGAAATCTACCTGCCTTTGCCTCCTGAGAGCTGAGACTGAAGGAATACACCACCATCGCCCAGCTACAGACCTAATTTCAAAGTTAAGTAGTGAGTTATCAATTTTGTGGTAGTCAATGTCTTCATTTGTCTAAGAATACTACAGCAAGAACAGTCATGATTATGGTGGTAGGGTACCCTGAATAACTTTTTCTCCCTTTCTCTACTTCAGTGTTACCATAATTACTTTGGTGAATTTAAGCAAATATATATATACCTGGTGTGTGTGTGTGTGTGTGTGTGTGTGTGACTTATAAACACTAAGACCACTTCTTGAACTAGCATTCCAAACTGTCTCTTGAATAAGTACCATGCATAAGAGAATTGGTTTGGTCAGGTGAGAGGGCTCAGCAGGTAAAGGTGCTTGCTGCCAAGCCTGACAACCTGAGTTCAATCTCTGGTATCCCACATAGAGAGAAACAGCTCCTGCAAGTTGTCTGCTGACCTCCACTGCACACCATGGACACACACACACACACACACACACACACACACACACAAATAAATAAATAAATGGTGTTCTGGAGGGTGGTTTTTTGTTTTTTGTAAGAATAGTTGCTTTCCCAGGAGTCTGTCCAATGTAGTCAATCCACCTCCATACTTGGCTCACTGAATTTGCCAGATGGTTCAGATATGTTCAGGAGCTATGAGCCAGAATTTCTCCATTGATTTTATTTGGTAGTGTGCATTGTGTATAACAGACTGACTCACCTACAATCCATGAATGGATGATGCACTTACTCTAGGCATGCAGTTATTGGGCTACCCTGACCGCAGTACATGCATGTGTTAATTCAATATGCAGATATGTAATTAGTGCTGCTTACCACATGCCAGAGACAAAGGGAAATTTGAAGTTGTATTCATTCTTAATTTGTGAGTGTGAAGTGTAGCTCAGTAGAACACTTGCCCATACATGCGGCCCTGGGTTCAATCCTCAGTACCAGAGAGGAAGAGACAGTGACAGGGACTTTTAGAAGCGAGTCTATACTCTATAACCTCCCTGTGATTAGTACACTGTTTCAGCACATTGTTCTAATCTCTCATTCTCAGGTCACCTCTAAACACCCCTACATATATAGACATTCATTCCAGGCAAAAAACTACAACCCCAAAAGTCTACAAAATAGTGAATACAAGGATCCTTATCAACTATGCTCCTATTACTCCACAGCTCACACCATTAACTGCCATAAAATTATACTGATAACAAACATTAATGTGGTATATATTGATTATGATTTATTAAAGCTACTGGAGATCAAAACAGCAAAGCAGACATTCTAGTTAGCCATAGAAGCCAGGCAGTGGTGGTGCACACCTTTAATCCCAGGACTCAGGAGACAAAGGCAGATGGATCTCTGTGAGTTCAAGGCCACCCAGACCTATAGAAGATTGAATTAGTCTAAGAGAATAATAACAGAGCTCTCTTTAATCCCAGGACTCATGAGAGGTATTTAAGACAAGAACAGGGTCTCAGAGCTGACATTCATTCTCCAGCCACATTGAGGATAGGAAGGCATTGATTCTCCAGCCACACTGAGGAGAGGCAGGAGTCTGAGGCTTGATGGAGAGCTTGTGGAGACACAACTAGCCCTTTCAGCCTGAGGTAGAGATGAAGTGACTACTTTGCTTTTCTGATGTTCAGCTTGAACCCCAACATCAGTCTCTGGATCTTTTATTTTTTGTGTTACACGTTAAAATATGAGCTGTGTGATTAACTCAAAATTCATTCAACATTGTGCAATGAGCACACTACAATCCATTAATTACTATTCTTTGGTAAAGATAGTAAGATTGGAGCCAGGTGTGGTGGTGCGTGCCTTTAATCCCAGCCAGAAGCAAATGGATCTCTTGTGAGTTTGAGGCTAGTGTGCTACAAAGAGAGTTCCAGAAAGGTCAAGGCTACACAGAGAAACTCGGTCTCAAAACAACAACAACAAAAGAGGCCATGGATTTGAGAGAGCAGAAGCATTGTGAGAGGGGCCATGTTGAAGGGAGAAAAATACAGAACTCACGTATGAAATTCTTTAAAAAATCAAAAAAGTATCAGTTTGTCCTGAGTCTGGGTCACCTGTATCAACTCGTGTGACTCATTTTAATAAGAGTAGTTGGAATCTTAGCTTTGTAAATGTAAGGTGATTTGGTAGACAAATTATGAGTCAACTTGAATAGTGTCTTTATTTTGAAAACATAGACTTGTTTCTTTGAGAAAACTCTGTTTTAGTGTGTTCAAAATTAAATGTGTGTGTGTGTGTGTGTGTGTGTGTGTGAATGTATAATACTGAAAGATATCGCAGATACAGCAAGGAATTGGACCATTCACACCTTGCTGATGGTGATGTAAAATCATAGAGCCTTTCTGAAAAGCAGATTGACACTTTCCTTTTTTTTCTCTGTATTGCTTTGGAACCTGTCCTGGAACCCGGCAGGCCTCCAACTCACAAAAATCCACCTGCCACCAGGGTGTTGG